TATGATGTTGAGTTCACTTTGTATCTCAGGTTGGTCTTGAACTCATAAAGATCCTCCTGCCTCTGTCCCCTGAGTGCTGGGTTACAGGAGTGTGCCACCATGCCAGGTTGGTCAGATCCTTCTTAATCTTGATCCATTCACACTCAGTGATTAACCTACAACACTATACATTGAGTCGGCATAAAATTTTCATTAGGGTTTCTCTTAGTTACTTTTTACTGGTTGCTGAGACAAAATACCTGATGCCTAAATTTGGGAAAGGAAAGGTTTATTTCTTACAGTTTTTGGAGGTTTCAGTCCATACTTAGTTGGCTCCAAGGCACAATGGCATGATGGGCTGCAGCTCATGACGGCTGCAAACAGCAAGGCATAAACCAGCAAGAGAGGGAGACACGCCTTCTTCCTGCATTACATCACATCCTGACTCCACCCCATGGGGTGTAGCACTCACACCAGCAATCCAAACTCTAGACAATGAACCAATCACAGATGCATATTGTAAATGCATGAGGCCTGGGGGACACAGACATAAACCATGACAGGGTTACAAATGCTAATTCACCTATATTTCTGTTTGGCGAATTTCACCGTCTTAATACTGCAGGAAGAATCACATAGCGAGGGTTGCAGTAAGGACCTCTTAACTGCAGGAGGAACGAGGATGCTGTGAAGAGACTAAGAGAAGTGAAATATCCTTCACTACATGTAAAAGCAAAAATTGGAACTATATTTGAGTACGTGTTTTGCACGACACTGCACATCAAAAAGCGGGGCGTGGTGTTGCACACCTGTAATCCCAGAACTCTGGAGACTGAGGCAGGAGGATCGCTGTGAGTTCAAGGCCAGCCTGGGCTCAAAGTAAGTTCAAGGCCAGCCTGAACTGGATAGCAAAACCATTATCAAAAAAAAAAAAAAAAAAAAAAAAGGAAGGACAAAGACACTTGAGAAGTCTGAAGCGACTGTGAGTGTAATACTGGCCAGGCTCACTGCTCCTGGAGAGCCTCCGGCAGGTGGGGCAGGGGGTTTTGGAGACATTTTAGCGGGGAAAACCGAACTGCGAGTCCAGAGAACAAGGCGGCCACATGCCCTCACATGCTCTCCACATCCAGTGGCAATGTGGGGAAAAATCATAAATCTCCCACGCAGGCCGCGTCGCCCTGTTCCTCACTACACCACTGAGACGAGGGCCACAGAAGTCAGGAACAGCAGCGAATTTTATGAAATGCCAGAGTCCTAGTTTTCAAAAGGGTCTGGGTCATGAAAAGTAAGTGGAAAACTGGAGGAGATTAGAGAGAAGCCAGTGTGGCACACAGGCCCTCAATTAGCACACACTCCGGTTTATACACAATGCTATTCTAATTCTAATCCACTGCTCCTCTCTCTCTCTCTCTCTCTATCTCTCTCTCTCTCTCTCTTTTTCTCTCTCTGTTTCTCTGTCTGTTCGCTCTCTCTCTCTCTCTCTCTCTCTCTCTGTTTCTCTGTCTGTCTCTCTCTGTCTCTGTCTCTCTCTGTCTCTGTCTGCCTGTCTCTCTCTTTCTCTGTGTCTGTCTCTCTGTCTCCTTAAGCTTTCTGCTCATAGGAGAAGCCCATAAGTAAAGCAACTGAAGAAACTGCATGTAGTCCCTGATCAACAGCCAGCACGGAACCGAGACCTTTGGTCCAATAGTTTCCCAAGATTCTGCACTGTGACACTTCAGAGAAATCCAAGATACTTTTCAAATACAACTATGCACCCTCAGAGTTAGCGTGAGTACATTATGGTTATGAAATAATCCTAATTCTTCCCTCCAATTGCTATTATTATTTCTCTCATTTATTTATTTTATATATACCTATAAATGTGTAATCACACATAAAGAAATATTTTTTCTGAACTATTATCTGTATGAATAATGGATAGCATATATTTTTTATTTTCTACAACTACTAACACAAGTTTAAAACAGAGAAAAGGAGGAAGACAGAAATATAAAAAGTGTTCAGTTAAAACCACAATGACAGATAACAAATGGAAAACAAAAATTAGAAAACAAGAATAACAAAAGAAAGCAACACGAATATTGTAATATATTCTAATTCAATTTCAGCAATCATTTTGTATTATAAATGGTATAAAGTAACTAAGTAAAACACAAGGATTCTCAAGGGGTTCAAAAATTGACTAACTTTTGTCTTTAAGAAATTATTTTATCTTACTTTTACGTTTTAGTTTATTATCCAGTCTAAACAGCAAGAGAGCAGAGAAACTAAGAAAATGTTTTAAATGTAAAATATTTGGAGTAAATGGATGGAACAAGGTCCATCATGCTAACACTAATCCAAGGACACCACAGTAACTACCTTGCCTTGACGGAGAGGAGATTCAAGCAGGGACAGTCATAAAGTTTATTTTTTTCTCATTGCCAAGATCCAGCAGAAGACACGCACAACTTAAAGGAGAAGAGGTTTAGCTGGCCCAAGTTTTCAGTCTATGGTGGGCGGATCCAAGGCAGGAAGGGTCTGGGTGGAGGAAAATGCTCATCTCATGGAAAACTACAAACACGCAAGAAGGGGAGGAGCCCAGGAAACCACTTAGGTCCTGCTCCCAGAGACTCAGGTCTTCTAGCCAGGCCCCATCTGCCGCTGGCACACTGGATTCTTCAATCACTGGTGGATGAACCCACCAGAGAAAGCAGTGCCTCCATCCTCAAATTCTTATTAAATCCCACATCCAAGCATAAGCGTATTGGGGGTCATTCTCAGTCTAAAAAATAGCTTTTGGCCCCTGACCCCCTAAAGACTCATGCATATATCTTCGTGCAAAATGCATTTATTTAGTCTACCCCCAAAAGCAGCCAGGGTTCTAACAGTGTGGAACTGCTGAAAAGTGCAACCCTAAAGTCTCCTCTGAAACTGCCTCTGTCATAGCTATGAATCCCCATAAATATAAAAAACAAAGCTAAACACTTCTAACATGTAATGACGCAGGTAAGCACTCCCATTCCAGAAGAGTAAAGAGGGGAATGGAAGGGAACGGGACCAAATCAAGGTAAAAAATTAGCAGGGCTAACATGTGGACACCAAATGGCTTAGGTAGCCTTGGCCCTTTAGCATTGGGGGATGCAAAGAAGGCTATTATATAAAACAGTTCTCTAAGAAGATATAATGATTTATCAATTTGGGTACTTAACAGAGCATCATACTGTGTGATGCATAGAATGTTATAATTTTGAGAAAGAAATGAATCCATTATTATAGTTGGAACACGCTTGCTCCCTGAAGTGGAAAGATGCCCCAAGCACCACATCATTAAAGATGTTGTTTAAACAGAACTGCACGGACCTTTCTTGACCTTAGTGCAATCATCTTGAATTATTAACTGACATGACTGTCCTAGAATAACACTGGTTTATCTTTGCTACATAGCTTCCCATGAGATTATAAACATAAAAAACCTTTGGACTGGTAATAACATATCTATATTTGTCTTTGGTGCCAGGGATTTGCCTGACTCCTTGATATGGGCTTAAGAGAAACCAAGGACTTTTCCGCAGGGTGAAGTATTTTTATCCTAATCTGTATATATGACCCAAACTGCTGAGATCCAACTTGTTCCGCTACTGCCCACGATCATGCTTGCATCAGTAAGAACCCTAATAAACTGCACTTGCACAATCCTAGATCTGTCTGTCTTTCTTTCAGTTTTATGGTACCTCAGGACCAGTACGTGAATACACTGTGACCAAGCTGTTCCCACAACAAGCACCATCAGTTGCAAAACTGACATTCACAGACTAGTTCATCCAATAATGGACAGATTATATACACAGTCTCATTAAGTATTCAGCTGCCAACATGGACCCACATTAAGGATATAACATAGCAAAGGTACAAAGATCATTTGAGAGCATACCATGTGTGTTCTCAAATGATATGGAACTGTACTACAAATCAGTAACCAAAAGATAACTGAAAAGATTAAGCAACAGGTTTGATTCTCAAGTAAGTGTCCTGTTTGTTCGCACCCAGCTTTCCATTCACCATTTGGCACTGGGGCTTTGTAATGGGTAGCAGAACTAAACAATTTTGATGTTAAATGAATATATTGCTCCAACAAATCAGAGGCTGGAGAATGAAAAAAATAGTTAAGGTACAGATTTAATTTCAATACTTAAAGAAAGAAATGTGCACTGTAGAAACACTGATGACTTCAGAAAGATGTTTTGTTTCCTGTCACTGACATCTCTTAATCTTGGCTTTTAATGTCCAGAAATTTGGCCTTACTAGCCTTCTTGGAAACTTACAGAGAGATACACTTCTTAGAAAAGTTTGAAATTGGTCTTTCTGGGATATGTGGCACATCTGTCTTTGAAGTGGTTATTGATGCTCTAACTGATGGCGGGGAACTCTGATGGGGAAGGAGAACATGGAGGATTCCCTGGAGCCTGCAACTGTCCTGCTGAAACGTGTTCATGGCTTTCTAGGAGTTACAGATAACCAGGAAGGTTTACCATTCTCTCATTACGTGACCTTTCATCTCTTGAGCCAGAATATTTTGTTTATGGCTTGGTTTGTAATGGTGTTCTCATACAAAATTCATGCTTATCTACAACATCTCTCTTAAAAATATTTTTATATTTACTGAAAGGTGTAAAGATAGAAAAGGGGACTTCATGCATTCTCTAACTTCCTATAACAGTAATATCATAAGAAAATGAAAAATCTTACTGATGGAACCTTAGTGCTGCTTTCATTTGCATTTCTCTAACAGCTAGAGACACTGGCCATTTTTTTCATGTACTTATTACCAAATATATATTAAAAAAGCAATAGTTGTGCAATACAATTAACTGAAATACAGTCTTTCTTTGTATTTTTTCAAATTTCCCACTAATGCCAATTTCTAATATATAATTTTATGATAGCTCATCGTAGTTACTGTCAAGTGTGTTGCTAATTAAACAGTGTGTAATAAGTTCCCCTGTAGCACAGAGGTTCAAATGCACGCACATACAACTCACGGTTTTTCTGGATCTGTGGTGCAGGTGCAGGTCTGCTGTGGGCTCAGTTGGAGAAGGACGTCTTTCCAAGCTCTTGTGTGGCTGTTGTTCCCAGTTTCGCACGGCTTGCCTGTGGATTATTTCAAACCTTTTAAGAATATAACCTTTACTACCCCCACCCTACAAAACTGGAGCGTGAAAGTTAACACTTCTCAATGCACTGTCTGAGGTCTGCTTTTATCCTGATATTACAACTACTTACAGACACGTCAAGAAAATGAAATGTGTTTCAAAAAGCTACTTGCCAATCCCTATGGCATTTGGACTTGGCACTGTTGGAACCACTGGCACTTTTGTTCAATGGAAGTCATGGTCTCAGAGGTCCATTAGAGTCTAGAACAAAGATGACTTAATCATACAGGAGTACAGCTGTCTTTTTGCACTGAAAACCTTTTCCTGAATGCAGAATCTGATTTATGTTTCCTGTCACAGACACTTGCCAACCTTGGCTTCTACCAAATCGTATCTCCCAAATGGATTCAGAAGGGTATTGTGCATTTTGAAATCCTGAGAATTTTGAAAATGGGGATTTTGGAGTCATGTCAGACATGGTTGGTGACAGTCAAGTGGTGAGTAGGTAACATGGGGAATGATGGTGAGGAAAACAGGAGACAGTGCCCGGAGCTTGGTGACTTTTCCCTGAAGCAGGACACCTGTGTTTGAACTGGGAGCTGGGTAAGAAACTGCTCCACCATTTCCACCCACTTGTCTTGCTGTCTCTTCAGGGGAGTTTTTATTGTTGTTCTGGTTGTGAGGTACTGAGAGATTAACCCAGGGCTCACACATGCACCCTGCACCACTGAGCTAACACCCTTTATCCTTGGTAAAAACTTTTATTTTGAGTTAAGGTTTCATTAAGTTTCCCAGCCTCGCTTGCTCAGAGTTACTGGTCTCAAACTTGCAGTCCTCCTACCTTAGTCTCCTGAGGCGAGGGTACAGATGTGAGCCTCTCCAGACCGCTGTTGTTCTAACAGTTAGGTGTTTTAAAATCTGAAGTAATATTAGATTAAGAGAGTGTTTCCAGGATTACACAGAGAATTTCATCTACACTTCAGCTTCCTAGAATGTTACCATCTTAAATAACTATAACATTTAATGGAAAATAGGAAATTGAGAATGTTTCAAAATATAATTTAAAACTTCTGTAACTCTAAGCATTATCAAAAATTGAAAAGACAATTCAAAGAATGGAGTAAAATAATTGGAAACTACATTGCTAAAACAGCTTTTGAAAATAGTCTGTACAATACAAATTCTTACAAATGAGTAACCCAATGCAAATATCCCTCAAGTACGTATCTATCTTTTTTTCATCAATAAATTACTTTGCTATCAATAAAGATGTCAATACACTATGATGTTTATAAAATATTGTTGCTGTACATGTTACTGTGGCCAATTATCCTTTTGGTTACTAGGAAAATAAGTAGGCTGGTGTATCAATTAATGAATAAACAAAGCCATATAATTTTAGAATTTTTTGTTTGCCCAATTCAGTTAACAGCATGCTCAGATCTGAAATCCATGAGCCATTTATCGACTGAGCCCTGACTTCGGTCCAGGCTACTTGCGAATACAGGGTGTTGGGCACAGTCATCTTAACGTGCACAGCATTTCTCCTGTGCTTGTGATGATAGTGCTGTAAATAAGCCTACTGTGCCGCCGGTTAGCACAGCACCTGCGATGATGGTTTCTACTTTGTAGTTGACATTAACAGGAAAGATATAGGTTACAGTTTATGCATTGCATGATGCATAATTATAACGAAGCAGTGGGCTCCGAGGGGAAAGGCTTACTCTGGCTCACATTTGGAGGTTTCGGTCCACGCGGATGGTCCCATCCCTTTGAGCCTGGGGTGGCTCCTCATGGCGGGAGCATATGGAAGCACAAAGGCACTCGGCTTATGGCTTGGACATGAAAAAGGAAGAAGACAGAGAGGTCACACCATTCCCTGTCAGGGGCATGCCCCGCTTACTCAAAGCTCCCACTAGGCTCTGCCTCTTAAAACTTCCACCATGGAATTTGGGAATTATTGGGTTATTTGGGAAATAACCCAGACCCAAACTGTAATATACTACATATGCATTTCAGCATCATTCTTTCCGGGTAACTTCTTATTCCATTTTCCACACATTTTGAAATTCTGATGTTCAATTTCTCATCTTTTATACACTGCTTATATCATCATATTAATGCAGTTATTAGTTTAGCTGTTTTAAAATTTTTATACTAATGATGTGAATGGCTATGCAGCATAATTACAACAGCAGAACATTCTGATTTGGCATAGTTACTCTTATCAGTGAGTTTTACAACTATCCAAAGTTTTGGTCTTACTTATGAATGTTTCTTTCAGTTTTAAGAACTCCTTTTCAAATGTCCTATAGGACAATTTAGGTGGCTATATGTTTCTCAGGTTTTGTTAGTCTGGGAATTAAATTTTCCTATTAAAAGACAGAGTGAATAACTGAATAAAACAACAAGACCCAAATTTACATGTTGTTTGGAAAAAAAACCACCACCACCCACAAAACACTCCAGCCCTGAGGACATACACAGTACGAACATTAAGGGGTGGAATCAGATAAGACATGCAAATGGAATAAAGGCAGGAGCAGGCAAGCTTTGGCTGAATTAAAAAGACTTTAGGCTGGGGATTTAGCTCAGCAGCATAAGCACCTGCCTTGCAAGTGTGCAGTTGTGAGTTCGATCCCTGGTACTGATAAAAAGGAAAAAGACAAAAAAAAAAAAAAAGACTTTAAAAGAAATAAAATGTAAGGAAGGCCATTATATAAAGATAAAGCTATCAATTTGGCAAGAGGAAGCAACAATTTTAAATATATATGCAACCAGTATCAAGGCACATAAGCATATAAAGCATTCTTGAATCATCTTGCCTGTGCCATATCTGAATGTCCCCATGCACGTCCATTGCTAAGAGTGTAGGCTTCCTGTTCATGTGCAGGGAAATTGAGGTAAATGGGCCTGGGCTCCTCTGTGGCCAGAAGCTGAGAAGTCATGAGATGTTGCAGTATGGATGTGGGACTTATATTTTGGTCATTTGACAATATTTGGCCATGAAATAATCTGTGTATATAACCCAGAACTCTCTATTTAGCGGTATCTTACACAGATTAAAAACACACAGTGATAAATTTGGTGTAAAAGTATACAGAGAATGTTCGGACTTCTGTTCTCTTATTTGTTAACATGTCCTAACCTGTAACAGATTCTGCCCTTGCCTAAAGACTTTTCTAGACGGTTAGACTTTGATCTCATTTGGAACTTAGACTAAGTATGCTACTAGTTTTATGGCACCCATAGGGCTTATTTCCCAAAGATGCACCTGTGGAACGGTTTGTTCACTACAGAATGTGCTCCTCTTGGGAGCCCAGCAGGTGTTAGTGCTCTGGATACCACCGCGATGCACAAATCCATATCTCCGTACCTGAGCCTGACTTGGTTTTAGGGGCCTTTTGCGATGTGTTACAACTGTCTCACCTAATAACTAACTAACCCAATCCAGTTAACGAATGAGTGACGTTTGCAGGTGAGACTATTTGAAAGGAACCTGGGAAAATAAGTCAGAATGTCTTTTTAAACCAAGGACTGAAAGATAATAATTCACACTAAAATACAAATACGGTAACAGCTGTTAGTTAAATGGCTAAAAAATGAAAAAGCAGACGGCAGTGTAAACATTACAGGCAAAACAAATATTCTAAGGCAAAGCCTGAAACAGCAACGTGCTGTTGGTCAGCTAGCAGTGCGATTTCAAGATCCCATTTTTATACAAAGTACCTGAATGAGGCCCTTAAGATCGAAGGCTGATCAGGGAGCCGCTGCACTTACCCCCGAGCCCCCACAGAAGAGGCAGGGCTCAGCTGTGCTGGAGGGAGCCCCGCCTTTCGTGGGTGGAGCCTGGAAGAGCCCCGCCCACCCGGGTTTCTGTTTGTACTGGAACCAGCTGGAGTAAGACATAATAAAGTGGAGTTGTGGCATCAAATATAATTTAGTGAAAATGTATTAACGAGAAAAGTAGGCCATATGTTGAGTATGCTGAGTTTCAAAGGGATGCTAGAGAAATAATAAGCAATATTTAAAAGTTTAAAAGTTTCCTCTACTTACGGTACAGGTCAGGATGTTTGTGTAGGGCAGAACATCTCGGTGATTCTTCTGTGTTCTTCACTACAGAATAGTGAGCAGACTGTGGAGAGAAACTTGTTCAACAATCACTAACAGAATTTGCATAGAGAAAACTAAAATGAGAGACGGTGGGGGGGGGGAGGGAGGGAGGGAGAAAGAGGGAGCCTGACACGGAAATGGTACATAACAGAATACACACAAAAGGATGAATTTGTAGAATTCACAATAAATGTTCCAGGAGGCTGTATACTCCCAGGGGAAAGACCTTTAACCTCCCAATACACACAAAATACATTCCGGGCTGAGACCCTCTATCTAGAGACATTTTATCCAGCGTTACAACACACGTTAGGAAAATAACTTCCTGAAAATGAGGTCAGGTACAATGTTTAAAGTGAGGCTCTCCGTGTAGCAGAAGGGTATTCTAACAGCTGATATGAGCAAAACGTCTAGAGACAAACTAGGACCAGCTCAGGCTTTGGGGCTCTTCTCCTGCAGTACGGTAGCATCAGGACTGCACCGTGGAAGCAGGGTGGTAACGGCGCCTGCCTTTTGAGCTGCTGTGAGAAATAAGTCAATCAGTTCCACAAAGTGCCTGTCAGGTGACAGGTCTGACTGAACACTAAGTTAGCATTTATTTATACCATTTTTCCAAAGTTGTGCAATTCTTCCTAATTATAAACTGCTTCACTGTCTTAATAGCAATTAATAAAACCACTGAAAAGTCTTAACATTTAGACTTTTTTATCTAATGTTTAAAGAAAATTGTTTTCTATCATAAATATTTGTTTGCTGCCGCTCAGATCCTAATGTGAAGATGGGAAGATGACACAATAAATGTTTTTAAAAATGTATTTTAAATTTGTGTGCATTCAGATCAGTTCTTCTGAGTCTTTTTCATTTCACCTCGTTAACAATTTCATGACATTATCATCCCCTATGGTCATGTGAAGCTGTTATGATGCAGCGTTTCTTAAGCAAGGTTTGCATTATTCCTGTGGGTTGGCATTTCCCTCCTCCTGGCAGCTCTTCTCCGAGTTTTAACCCCGACAGTATCACTAGGACTTGCCAAGGACGGACTGCAGGCCACGTTCCTGTGCGTGTGCTGAACAGCCTGCACACTGGCTTCTGGCCAATAATATTTTTCCCAGAGTCAGTTTTACAATGTGTCCCCCTTTTCACGACATAAAAATGTACTCTATATACTGGGAAAAACTATTTTTTTCTGTGACTTCTAAGTTCACATATAAAGTCGAAGTAAGTAGTCTTCCTCTTTTAGCCTATTAATGAGGAAACATGCTTACATATATAAAATGACCAATCGCATTTCCCATTCACCTAGTTATTTTGGTTATCATTAGACTATTACAATTACTATTCGTATTTTAAAGTGAATTCCTACACTTTAATATTGTTTCGGCACCCATTTGAATACCAGGGCAGCTCTCAAATCTCCAGATGAGGGCATGGCCCTCTGTGTCCATGCATTTGGCCCTGACAGATGTGTTACCTCTTTTCTGGGTGCTACTTAGCTGTTGCTTCACTCATTCTGTGGGTTTCCCTCTTCTGGGTCTCACTTGACCACCACAGGCTCACTGCTTGGACAGTCGGACGGAGACCTTCCACCTGCATGAAACAGTATTTCATGAAAGGATATGACACGTTTCCAGAATCAAATTTATGAAGTTAATGCTGGAATTTATTCAGACAAGTATCAAGTATAAATTGAAAGCAAAACACTACAAATATATACAGAGACAATTTATGAATTATATTTCAAAAACCCACTGAAGTGGAAAATACAAATGTTTTCTAATGACTTCCAAAAAGTGGTATTGGGGTGAATGGAAAATAAGGTGACTTTAATTTTTTTTAAAAAATTCACTTTAGGGGGCTGGGGATTTAGCTCAGCGGCATAAGCGCCTGCCTTGCAAGCAGGCAGTTGTGAGTTTGATCCCTGGTACCGATAAAAATGAAAAAGACAAAAAAAAATTCATTTTAGTAAGAGACACATTGCCATGATTTCTCCTCAAAATGCTGCCCTTCCTTCAAGCCCACTTGTCCCACTGCATTTGACACTTTCTGAAGCAGCTTTAGAAGTCCTTTTTGTGGCTTTCTTTAGCTGTGCTATTGTGGCTACGTTAGTATCCTCAGCAGATTCCAAACATTACCCTCCCTGTCACTGTGACTTTGCAGAAGAGCGAGAAGACTTTGGTTCCAGATCTGGCAAATAAGACATGTTTTCCTCACCTGCTTTTCCTTCACGTGGCACAGCCGCGGCACACTCTGTTACTTTTAACTCCTAAAGGTACTTGATAAAGAAGACAAAGAGAAGGCCAGAGCAGCAAGGACCCTGGGAAGAGGGCGGGTAAGCTGAAGTGAGAGGGAGCTTTGGAGGAGAGTTAAAGGCAATGTGTCTCACTGTAACAGTTTTGAACTTTCAATATACATTGTGTATGTTGATTATGCCTCATAGCTTTAGAATTTCGACCCACACTTGAAGATATTTACAGTGCTGTTCTGAAAAGGCTCCCTTGTAATTTAACTGTTTAATCCATGTAACTATATATCAAGTTATCTCTTATTCTGTTTACCTTTTCAATCACATGAACGAAAAACATACAAGTCATTTGAGAATAGTCACCACAGAGGTGGAAGCATCCTCTGCTTGGCAAATGTCTCAATCCGCTTCTTTGTTGGTTTGTTCTGTCCTGTTCTTTCTGTGTATTTGGAAATCACAACGTGCTTCAGTGGGTCCCTGAGGAGCGCTGTGGAGAAAGAAGAAATTAATGCCACCCATGCTGTGAGGTGCTGGCTGAGTTTGCACCTTTGATACAGCACCAGGAAAGCTGAATAAGGAAGAAGCTCAGTGTCAAACATTTGACCAGCGCACTCTATGACATCACAATCCATGCAGCCACGTGCAAGGACAGCAGGGCTCCTTTCTGGTGATGTGGAATCGTAGGATGTTTTCAATGACATCCTCGTTAAATCTGGTCACAGTTATCACGTACTCTGCACTGTGTCCTCTGTGTCTGTTACGTTGTGCCCGTGTGGTTCATGTCCATCATCGTTTTCTGCTAACTCTGAGAAGTGAAAACCCATTAACATTAGTGTGCCACTTTGAGGATGTAACTCTGTGTTCAGATCTACAAGCCGCCCTATCCTGCATGTGTGTACGCAGTGTCAGGTGGAGAAATGCATTCCTAGTGTACAGCATGGCAGGTCATGTTGTAGCGGATGATATGAAGAGGTAGAAAGGAACGGAGGCAATGATTGCTTACTTTCTAAAAGGGGAAGATGATCAAGAAAGGGAACGAGGGAGGAGGGAAAGGGAAAGGGAGGAAGAAAGGAATTAAGATGTGTTACGTGCCTATGCCAACGCCACACAAGGAATGTAAACCTCATGCACTGCAAACATGCACTAGTAAAAAATTAAAGAGAACTCCAGTTAATGACAATATGAACAGAAAACATTTCCATGTGTTTATGTTTTGACTGCTTGCCCTGAGGAGAGAAATAAGAGTTTGGGGGCTGTGTGAAAGCTTTTTTAAAAAAATTACCAATGTCTAAATAAAGGGGCTAAAAATCTGCTGTCACTGATATCAGAAGGGAGAAAAGTGGTCCAGGTCATGTTTCCTTCTCACTTAATGTCTGCAGGGCACAGAAATCCATTTTCTCACAGAACGTATGAATAGAGGATGGAGAAGCCCCTTGGTTACAGCACATAAAACAAGGATTCCTGTCCTTCAGATGTCCGTGGAGGGTACTGAGGTGTTGGCTGAGCCCGCAGTTGTGTGGACGTGAGTCGTAGTCCTCTTTGCTGTGAAATTCTTTTTTCTCCAGTACGTGTGTCGAGTCTGTGTCTGTCACTTAGACCACTTTATAAAGGGACATTAAATCATGCTGATAATTTATTTGTTGTTTTGTCATCATCAGATTTCACTGTCAATGTACACGACATTCCGACTACTAACCGCCTTCAACTGACAAATGCCTGGCATCTAACCCTGATTTCCACAGCTTAACCTGCTGCTAGGACAGGACTATTCTGTGACTCGTGAGCTTAGCAATGAATACAATTCGAGGGTGTAACTAACAACAGAACATGGTGACACGGGCAAAAAGCAAAGCTGCGCCTACACAATGAAACCTTCCTTATCTGGATGTTTTTGGGAATTCTTGAAAGGAGAACTGCGTTTTTTGTGGGTAGCAGAAATTGAACTCAGGACCTCATGCCTGCCAGGCAGGTCTGCACTGCTGAGCTATATACATGTTCCCCTACTTTTTTAGTACAACTGTATTTTGAAAATTTAAGAAGAAATTAAATATTTCCTGATAAGATTCTGTGTGGATCCAGAACGGTACTTTCTGTTTGCGTTTTCTGGAAGCTCTCACCACGGTGCCACAGTTCAGGTCCCACAGAGCCCACGTGGTACAGGCTTGGTCCACGCCTGGCACTACTGGAAGGGAATTGCAACTACAAGAGTTGGGGGCTGCTGTGATATTTTCCTTCCTGGTGTCATGACCTTGGGGACTGTGGGAGCCCAGTGTCCTTTCCTCTGTCTCTCCATCCTGTCCATAAGAGGAGCAGCATTGAACACTGCATGCTCCTTGACAGGTGCCACCTCACCACTGGCCTAACGCACCGGATCCACCTGGTTATGACCTGATACCTCCAGACTTGTGGGATAGAATAATACTCTTTGTTAGTTTATTTTCTTAAGGGTTTTCATAAAGAAATGGACACCTGACAGTTTCATAAGACTCTTCTTGTCCAGAAGTCATAAATTTCAAAAAAATTTCAGCAGGATATGCATAATAATTATCATACAATATTTGCAAATGGAGTTTTGGAGACATGTGAGTTAATGGATCGTGTATTTGGATACGTAGCTGCTTGGACTGAAACTGGTGACTACTAACAGGGTTATGTTGGAATAGGAAAAAAAGGGGGGTTGTCACAGGACTTAGGGGATTTTTCTGAAGCAGACACTGCTGTCTTCAGAATGCTGGGCAGTAACAAAACCTGCTCAGATATTCTCACTCTATGTTGATTTCTTTCCTGATGGTCAGAAGCTTTTTAATGTATTTGGGGGGATAGCTGTACTAATTAAATATCATATAAAGAATATTAATTTGAGGTAATTATACATTTATCAAAAGTATTTATCAACTTGCGAAGACTGTTGATTCTATCCTTTATATTCCTAGAATCAGAATGTGTTATGTAACCAAAGCACATTTATGTGAATTTAAATTGATTATAGCACAAAAGTACTCACTCAAACACAGAATTTCTTGTTTTACTATTTTTCTAGAAATCTTCCCTTCTATCCATTTCAGAACTCATTCAAGATAATAGGGGTTAATGGAGTTGATTTCCTGACATGTTGGCTATGCATTGGTGGTTGTTTGACATATTACCACATAATCAAACAGTTTAAAGCCTAACATGCATTACTCACAGCATTTCTGGAGTCGGGAGTCCAGATGTGTACTGCAGGCTTGACTGTGCACTGAAGGTTCAGGCAGCAAAAGACCCTATTCTCTGCTCATACTATTGTGATTAGGATTCAGTTCTCTGCCAAGGTCAAGATGATTCCACTGGTAACTGCGTATAAACATATGGAATTAATAACACACATCTGCAGATGTTACAACCCCTCAAAAACAAGTCCAAAGAAACAAATTAAAGGGGAAACAAAAATATTTCTTCCCTAACTAGAGGAGGTGATATTTTGATAGTAATAGTAAGCAAAGACTTTTCAAGAAAAGAAATTTGCAGGCTTTTATGACTACAGATGTGAAACTCTTCGAAGAAATATTACTAAACAATGATGAGCAAAAGAAGAAAGCATCAAAAACTGTGAGCAAGGTCACGTGATCCCTGATACAAGTCTGTCCTGACACACGGAAACAAGAGGCATGATGTGGAAAAGGAAAGAAAGTCATTGCAAAAGTCAGAGAAAATATTGGACAAAGCCAAATCCAGATTTTTGACTGAAAAACATGTCATTAATTAGGTATAGAGAGAATATTTCTTCCCTTAAAATGGAATCTCAATAAATTCGAATAGCATCTTACTGTAGCACAAAGGACTCACTTTGCTGACATCAAAAATCAGAGAAAGATCCCATTCTTGTCACTTCCACTCAGCACTATGCTGGAGGCTGTCACGTGGCTATGCAAAGAGAAAAGTGAACAAAAGTCATCATATTGCTTATGATTTTCCATATGGAAACAAACTCAACATCTATTTGTCAAAAATGTAATCTTGTCTATAAAATCCAATAGAATAAAATTTTTATTAGACTTGAATAATAAACACAACAAAGTTAAATATATATAATCCTTATGAAAATGTATTTCTACTCCTACCCCAAGAATTAACAATAAAAAATAAAACTTAGAAAACAATTACCTTCAAAACTGGGAAGGGGAATGAGGGGAGGCTGGGGAGGTGGTGAAAAATGATCAAGAAGGTGTATATATTTATCCAACCTGCAATACAAAAGTGAGTATTATCCCTCAGAAATGTGTTACAATAATAAAAAGAAGCAAAGTAAAATGAAAGAAAATTAAATAAATAAAAATAATCTATGCATTGTGACTACCATTTCCTATGCATTATTACTATTAGGGCCAATTAGAAACTTCCTAATAAAGTCTTCCACTTATTTCTCCCTGTGGATTAGCTTACCATCTGAGTGACAACCTCTCTGAGAGGTCCGATGCTGATGATACCATTGGGAGATATCAAGGGAAGGTTCCCCCCATATCCCTGAAAGTGTCCTGAGAACCATCATACTATGGCTACTTTCTGGTCCACAGTATCTTGACACTATCAGTGTTAAGATGAATCTCTGTTTTAGAGACTTCAAAATATATACCCTAACAGTAGTGAAGCAGACATGGTTTCTTAGTGAATGTCAGATTTGCAATGGAGAACAACTGGAGCTCGTCCATAGCTTCTGGTTTGTCACCACAAACCAGACCACCACAAAAACTGTGGTTTCAAAGAAGTTGACCAATAGTGTGATATCTACCTACTACCTACATATTACAACAGCAGAGTTATTAGAATACTGGAATTCATTTAATATTTAACACTCTACACTTCTGGAACCAGCTCATTAAATGCACCGCTGCTAAATGAGCAACTGTAGGTATTATGTACATTGCAATATTCAGACCATTACAATATTCAACCAAGAAATGGTCAAAGGAAACTCCAACTTAAATTCTTTGCTCTTTATTCTTATCTTGTATGGAAGTAATATAATTCACAACAGAACATAAAACTACAGTATTGTATTATGCAGTGCAATCACCAAAAGTTAAAGTGCTATGTAAACAAAGTATATTGTACAAAGATATTGAAGATCTACAAGGAAGATGTACAAAACTACAGAAAAGTGGGTGTTAAATCTGAGTGGCAGGTTGTAAAGTTCAAACAGCATACCTTGGTTGTAGGTCTGACCATTCATTGAACAGGTAGGTGGTCATGCAAGGAATATTTGTATTTCATATGTTATACTTAATTCTCACAATTCTGTCTTGTCTTAGCATACATATTGAAAACAGAGTAGCTTGTCTGTAACTAGAAGGTGGCCTCACTTTTAGTTGCTGCCAATCCAATCCAAGGCCCTTGGGTCCATCAGCAGGTCTTAATTATCCATGACATGGTTTCGAGGTCTCTATCTAGTAACACTTATTTCAGGAGATTTGATTCAGATATCTACCTGTTACAAACTTCTATGGGATGCAGCAGACAATATCTTTCACTAGAACCATTGATCTCACATGGCACCTGCACAAATCCATAGCAGTCACTTCTCTGGCACAGTGTGACTCCAAGGAAATTCACATAACTTACTTCAGACCAGACCCCTCATGAAAACACATTTCAGTGAAACCCTGACATTCAAACAAGTTCCAACAGACACTCCTCACACTTTCCTCCCTTCTCACCCACCACTCCTGGGTTGAGAATGTGTATCTCCAAAGCTTTTCCTTCCTATTTGCTAAGACATATACTGCTTTCTTGTCTCTAGGATTTATAAATAGTATACTGATGGTTTTATTGAGTCTGTTTCAAAACAGGGTGTGGTGGTGCATGCCTGTAATATACTGTTGGGAGTTTAAGACCAGCCTGGGTTACAAAGTGAACTCAAGGCCAGTACGAACTGCATAGTGAGACCTGTCTCAAAAAAAGATTTTTAAAAAATCTGGTTCAGAAAGCTTTCTCTTCTGTGTTGCACCTGATTCTCTCATCAGAACCTAATAACCTTTCTCATCAGGGCTCTTAGAAGCAGTGCCCATTTTGGTATAAATACATTTATCAGCCAAGATTCAAAGCAAGTTTCCTGAGAGAGAGAAAGAACTGGGTGCAAGTCAGAGGCTTAGACGTCAGATGTCCATCAGGGTAAGAGGTATCCTGTGACAGGGTGCTGTAAAGATGCAAATCTCCCGGCATTCTATGAGGACAAGGGTAGAATGTGTAGCCATTCATCTAAAAGAGACCTTGCAAACAAAGCAGAGATAAGAAAAACACGATCTGCAGTGTTGTTCAGTAGACCATAATTCATGAAATCTTTTGAGAATGAAGATAGTAATGGAAACGAGTTCCTTGAAAGTTTGCTTTGGACTCTGACAAAATATCTGACACACATAACTTACAAGCAGGAGATATTACTTTGTCTCAGGGTTGAGAGGTTCAGCATTATCTATCTCTGGGGCAGTGGTGGAGTAGTGTGTTACAAGGAAAGCGGGTATTCAAGGAAACAGAACAGCTCAGGCATCTGGAATCAATAGAGACAAAAGGTTCCTGCTTTCTCCTTGAAGAGGAAACTCTTGAAGACCTTACTTTATTCTACTAAGTGGCTTCTGTGCATGGTTACAGCACCAAGTTGAAAACCAGTCCTTCAGCACTTTCACCTCGAAGATTTCCAAGGTCTAACACACAGCAAACACATTAGTTGAGTAAAGTGGAAAACCAGTTGATAATCTAAAAATGTCTAAACAGTATTTGAGTATGCCAAAGCGACTCCAGAGAAAATGTTAAGCACTTTCCACATGACCATTCACACATAAATCAATATAAAGTACCTGTGTTATAAAAGAATAAGTCAGACTATCATCATTCTTTGATGCCTCACTTTGGGTATGGAATTTCCCAAGAAATCCACTGACATAGTATTAAAACTAAAGAACAAGCTCATGAAGGTAACCTAATACAATGCCAATGTATAAAAATTAACTATACCTTCACATTAGCAACTGGCAACGTAGAAATTAAAATACACATTCCATTTTAACTAGCACAAGGGATATACTTAAATAAAAATCCTAATAGCTATGTATATGCAAGATTACAAAATGCTTAAAAGAAAAATGTCTTCAATATATAAAGCATAAAATATTTCACCTTCATTGATCAGAATGCTTTATATATTGGAAATACTCCCAAAGTATTTCTATACATTGAATGAAACATATTTTTTGAAAAAGTCTCAATTCCTAGAAACATATGAATTACCAAAGCTGGATCAAGAATATGTAAAACTGCTGAATAACTCAATTTCAGTTAATGAAATTGAAAATGTAATTACAGCTTTACCAATAAAGAAAAGTGTAGGTCTTGGTGGATTCACTGCTGAATTTCTATAAGAAATTTAGGGAAGACATAATGCCAACACTCCTCAGACTCTTCAGTGAAATTGAAAGGGAAGCAATTCTCCTCAACTCATTCCTAGAAGCAAGTATTACCCTAATACCAAAACCAGATAAACATTCAACCATAAAAGAGAATCACAGGCCAATGTCCCTATTGAATATAGATGCAAAAATCCTTAAAAAAAACCAATGGTAAATAGAACTCAATAAATCATCAAGAAGATTGTACACCACGACCAACTGGGATTCACCCCAAGCATGCAGGGGTGGTTCAATATACACAAATCAATAAATGTAATACACGATATTAACAGAACCAAAGATACACATCCACTTGCTGGCCACCACCATCAGAAGGCTTACTTGCCATGGACAACCAGCATGAGCAGAGAGATCTAGATGGATCCGCCTCTGCCTGCCAGCCACTGTCATCAGAAGACTTGCTTCCTGTAGGCTTCCAGCAAGAGCAGAGACATGCAGCCAGGTACCCCATGGACCTGCAGACCACCACTGGAGACTTTTGCTTCCTTCAGGCAGCCACTGGCCACTGGGAGACTCAGACAAACACACCCCTGTGTGTCTGCCATCCTCAGGGGAGTTTCAGTACAGACACACAGGCTAAGGGAAGAAGCAGCTCCACCCCACCATGGCCATCAGGGAAGCCCCAGCATATCTGCACAATCTGGAGAAGCCCACCCATACCCTGCTACCTCTCTGGGAACCTGGGGTCAGAGAAACCCAGGTGTTTGTCTTATTCCTCTGCACTGTGGAGGGGCAGTGTGGGAAGTGCCTGGGACCCCACAACCAGCTTGCTGGGAGAAAACCAGGAGAATGTCAACAGGAAGGAGCAAAAGGCAATCTCAGCCCACATATAACAAGTCTGGGAGATACAGTCATGGAAGGAAATGGAAGTCACACCCCTGAAATCTCCACAAG